TTCCTAACCACACCTCCGACGTGCAGCGGGGCGGTCTCCCCATTGCCACCTCATATTTTGCGATCTCTTCCTCGGCATTCTCTAAATGCTCAAGCGGTTCCCATGAGTTCTCGGATGATGGATAACCTTCCCATTTGACAAGGTATTGAACTTTGTTGTAGTGCATTCGTTTGTCCAATATTCCTTCTACAAGATATTCGGTATTACCCTCAATCTCGAGCCCATCCGGCCGAGGCGGCTCCGCCCCGGGTCGTTGCTTATAGGGTTCCAAATAGGAAATGTGGAAGACAGGATGGATAGATTTGAATCCTGAGGTTAGTTTCAACTCATATGCCTGCTTACCCACTACCCTTATTATCGGGAAAGGTCCCAACCATCGCTCACTGAGCTTCTTGCACGGTCTCGTCGTCTTGATGTTCTTTGCTGAAAGTAACACTTGATCCCCTATTGAGAACTTCATTGGAAGGTGTTTTCGATTATAGTATTCCGCCTGTCGCTCCTGGGCGCGGCGGATGCTTTTCGCCGCCTCCCCGTGGATTCTATCCAGAAGCTCCAATCTAGCTTTTACTTCTGGCACCGAGGGGTACTCTGTCCCACGATCCCGTTCGACATTCCGACTGTCTATCCCCCCCTTTAGGACGTCGTCCGCGACGTCACTAGGTAATGAAGGATTATACCCATAACAAGCATAAAAGGGGGACACTTTTAAGGTTGCATTCTTTGCATTGTTATATGCGAATTCGGCGGTCGGAAGGTGTTTAGGCCAGTCATTCTGATGATATGAACAGAACGCCCGAAGATGGTGTTCTAATGTTTGATTCTGACGTTCAGTCTGGCCATCTGTCTGAGGATGGAACGCGGTGCTGAGGAGGCGCCTTATCGTAAGGTGATAGCAAAAGGCCGACCAGTATTTACTGGTGAAAAGGGATCCTCGGTCTGACACTAACGATTTCGGAGAACCGTGATCACGAATGATGGCATCTAGAAACAGGTCAGCCAATTCAGGGGCTTTAACCTTCTTGTGGGTAGGGATATATTTGGCCATCTTCGTAAAGCGGTCGACAATAACTAGAATTGAGTCATATCCTTTGACTCTTGTCGACTTCGGCAGGTCAACTATGAAATCCATCGATAGATCCTGCCATGGGCCCTTTGGAACAGGCAGTGGCGCCAACTCGCCATATTGCTTGTGCCGCGGAACCTTTATCCTCTGGCAGACATCACAAGTTTCAACATACTCCTTGACATCTGTCCGAAGCTTGTCCCAAACGTACTTACGTCTCAGGAGCTCTTCAGTCTTCTCTAATCCGAAGTGCCCAGCATGGGGATCATCGTGATGAATCCTCAATAACTCCTGGCGCACCGCCCTGCTACGAGGGACAAAGACTGAACCATTTAGCAGTAGGAGTCCACATTCCCCTAGTTGCCAGCGACTTGGTTCCTCGGCGGCACCGCCCCGCTCAGGGCTTGCCCCTTCCAAGTTCGACCCGGATCCTTCCTCCTTCAACTTCTGGATTCGAGCCGCAGTAAAGGCGTCCCCCTGCTGCAACTCACCAATGAATTCTAGAAGCCGTTGGGTTGGAAGGTTGTAGACCGTTTCGTCTTCCGCCAATTCAATGGCAGCAAAACGTGGCACGAGAAGTTCATGACCTTCAGTGCCAGTCCCCTGCGGGGACCCGAGTTCTCCTCCACTTGTATAGGGTCGCGCAGCTGCCTTACCGGCGCCGTTCCCAAGCTTTAGAGAACCCCAACCCCCTGCAGCCAGTTTCTTCTGCAGTGATGGTAGAGGTCCCTTTGTAGGATCCTCATCCCCATCAACGATATCATAATCGGGTCGCCTTGATGGCGCATCAGCGGGGTTAAGCCGACCTGGACGGTATCGGATAGAGAAATCATACTCCGAAAGCAGCTCCGCCCACCTGGCTTGACGTCCTGTCAAGCTCTTTGTTGTCAAGAAGTAACGCAAAATATGCATGGGTCGGTGAGAACTTGCACGGGAATACTTGCAACCTTGGAAGGTAGTGTCGCCAAATCTTAAAGGATTCAACTATTGCCAACATCTCATGGATCATGAGTATCATACCTTCTTAGCGTGAGCGATAGTCTCCTTGGAGAAGAAGGGCACTGGTCTCTCATTTCTCGGCGTCTTAGTAGGTTCTGGGATAAAAGCCTTCTCCTACAAGGCATTCCATTGGCTGGATGTCCAAGAGGGTATTAACCCCCCCGAT